CTGAGCTTAAAACCAAGAAAGGGATGATTAAAGTGAAAACAATGCTGGCATGAGTTACAGAAATGTGGTTCAAATTGGCAAAACTTGGCCCTGAGGAGAAACCATAATGTCACCCTGCAACACCCTGAGAGAGGCCTCAGAATCTCTATCCCTCTGCTGTTTTTTGGCTCTAAGTTATGTGTCCCTTGGATTGCACTAAACCCTGGAGCATCCCATGTATATATTTAGCATCTATTCCAGGGTGACTGTATTACCTGCCTGTTATTACTGCCTTATGTCACTAGTGTCATATGGAGCACTGAGTCTACTTGTTATGTGTTATGTCTTTGGTGTCATGACTGTATTAAGATTTGTTCTTGCATGTGAATCTACATTGTATGGAATACACTGCGGAATCCTATCCAAAATAAAAGATGTATGACGAAAAAAAAATCATGTGGATGACAACTGACAGCCTCTGCCTTGTCTCTATCTGTCATCTAAAAAATAGAGTCTGATGTGATGAACTCTTGGAATACTGGTAGAAGATATATACTTTGATGTCCAGAGATCTGTTCTGGATTTTCTAGGAGGCAATGAGAAACTTTCATGTACAATAAATGATAATGTATTTATTTTCAGTAGTAGAGAATGTGGCATCACTCATTGTGCATTTTTAGCCCACATAATAGAGTTAATAACTGGTATACATAATATCCTTCATTACTACATTTCTTCCGGGAAAAACGTAAGGTAATTTAAGCCAACTCTATTGAGCACAGCTCATATTTTTCAATTGTATTATAAATATATATTTTAAAATAGTCAAGGTCATAATAAGACAAGATAGGTGCTAATGTCTTAGGATAAACATCTCTGATTGCTTGTCAAAATATACTTGGTTCTTTCCTCCACCTAAAATGCCTTGTGGAAATATTGGTAAGGCATGAATAAAAGAGAAGTTTCTCATCATGCTGGGTGTTTCCTTAACACAGGAGTGACACTGTGGCTAGGTTTCCTCTGACTTTGACTTAATACAGAGATGCAATGGTATTGTTCCTAGAATTTTACTTATCTCAAAAATATTTATTATTTAAAATTTCATAGCTTAAGAGTACTTGAAGTGAAGACATCATAAAAACAGCAAGTGCCAGTATTTTCTACTCAGAATTCTACAGTATAAATTAATTTTGTTAGGATTATAAATTGTAGTGTTTGTCATGTTTGATTCTAGTATTTGTTTCTGTGTTTATTCAGGCTCAGAAAATTATTTGCTAACATACGAATGAATATCAATAAAGCTTCCACATACTTCCTGTTGTCTGTCTCTCCAATTCACTGTTTCGGGTTAGCTTAGATTTGTCTTTTCAAATTGTCTACAAGGGTGCATGCATGCTTCATGATCCTTATTTTTCTTAGCCCTGTATATAGAATTCAAAATAAAATCTTTCCTTGGATCCAAAAATGTTTCAATACGTTGATTTCACAAAATAAAGAAAAGGAACATGCTGTTAATTCTTAAGCCTCCTTTTTTTGTCTATGATTTTTCTCACCTTTACCTCTACATATTTCTGGAAATACTCTAATCCTCCTTCCTTTCATGTGTCAGATTTAACTCCTTTGAATATCTGTGTTAAGCTCAAGTTGCTTGATATGTAGCAAATTACTAAAATCTCTATTCTCTCACATGTCCAAGCAGAACTTTGATTAAGTTGCTAGAGACAGTCTAAAATCTATTTCTCCTTTTATAGAAACTGAAAATATAAAACCTTTTTACATTGCCTTGATTATTTGTCTGTAGTTTTATGTTTCATTTGGTTCTCTCTTAGCCTTATGTTGTTGCTATCAGAGCTCACTCATGTTCACAGTGCTGGTTTGGTTGGACTGGAATTAACATTCACAACATTCGAATTTATGACAGCTCATGAGATATCTTTAATTTTCATTCAGATTTTTGAAAGTAGAAGAGGGAGACCCAGACCTCACCAATAAAAGGAATTGACCAAGCATTGTGAGAAAATTAGTATTATATTTACTGTAATAAAAAATAGAAATAAATTTTTTCAAATAATTTTTGTGGTTTCTACCTTTTCCTTAGATTTGTGATGTTTTGTTCACCATCTTGTGAAGTGAGGTCTTTGTAGTTTCTATCTTTTCCTTAGATTCTTTTTTATATATAATATTTACATTAAGTTCATGAAAGGCAATTCAAAATCTTTATGCAACTTGACATGAAAACAAAATGAAAGTTTATCAGGCAGAGGCCACATTAACACATAAATATTATACCAGTAAGGAGAATTAATATCTAGAAGAAAACCTGTGCATCTACAGCCATCTCAACAAGATTTCCCAAAATGTATATTTGAGAAAAGAAAGTTTTCTCCTCAAATAATCCTGGGGAAACTGCATATCCATATATAAAAAATTGAAAACAAGGTTCTTATCACTCTAGGCTCATTCTTTCCTTGCTCCTCATTCATTCATGGTGTATTTGTTCCTTTTGAAAGTTTGTAGAGGGTTTAAGGATCCAGAAAGTTGAATAAAAGAATCCATGTAAACGCTGAAGTGTATAGCATTAGACATGAAGAAAACAGCAACAAGTAACCGCATACAAGCAATATTTTAATATGGTATTAAATACTGTATTAACAATATTTTAAAACAGCATTTTACCATGGTTTTAATAACAGAAACTCTTTGCACATTTTGATAGTTTTCTAGGTGTTGATTGGTATGAGAGTACTGTATACTGTAATGCTCCTCATTCCACTGGAATTTTTGTACAGGTTTAAAATTATTAGATTAAGGCTAAGTATGTAGCTCAGTAGCACAGCACTCTACTGGCAAGTGCAAGGTTATGAGTTTGATTCCCAGTATCAAACAAAACAAAATAAATAAAAATATTCTGGCCTGGTGGTACAATCCTGTAGTCCCAGAACTCTGAGGCTGAGGTAGAAGGATTACTGTGAGTTTGAGACCTACCGGTGTTATAATGTGAACTTAAGGTCCACTTGAACTGCATAGCACTCTCAAAAACACCAAAAAAAAAAAAAAAAGACCACAAATTACTTGATTGAAGGCATTCTAGTGTCAATACCCTCTATTTATTAAAAAAGATACAGTCTTGTTAAAAAGTAAGCTAGAATAAGAGACATATTTTTTCCATATTTTGAGTTGTTCAGGATTTTAATCTATGTGATATCTACTATATTTTCCTCTAGACTTATGTGCCTTGACTAATTTTATTGTCACAATCGGACATTATACAGAGTGTTAAAGTGGAAGCCAAAATATGAAAATGGAAAACCAGATGCAGAAACCTGGGACTTGCCGACCTAGACAATGATGAAATAGGAAAGTGGAGACAAAGAACACTAGAAAGAAGTAATGGGACAACAAAGAGGACAGGACAAGTGATGGAGAGATGCTCATTTGGGTGGATAAATGATGAATATATTCCCAGGAAGACGCTGGACAGAGATGGAGCAGGTATTTAGAATTTTTTGCTCATCTAGATCTGTCAATAATGGCTTATGCAAGTGGAGAGAACTTTCTAGCCACACAGGGATTTTCTGAGCTCACATGAAGAAAGCTGAGGACAGGGAGAGAAACTAGGACTCAGGGAGACAAGAGTCAGTCTGGAAGTCAGGACCACAGGGGAAATGAAAGATGGAGTAGGAGAAACTGGAGAGTGGGAGGCAAATGATTCACTCACACAAAATTTCCATGAGGAAGAGATTGTCGGTTAAAATAGAAAGTCACTACTATGAAGTACAGAGCATAAAAGAGTTGTTAAACTGAGATCAAACACCAACTGAGGTAAAGAAGATCTCTCTCAGTGAAATGCTGCTCCTGATACTGGCATTGCTTGCATTTCTCTTCCCAGCTGGTAACACTCAGAAAGGTAAGAGGAGCTCTGGCAGCTCCTGACTATGGTGCATGGGATTTGATAAAGGCAGGCTGTGCTCACCAGGAGGCACTGAGGTTCTGAGTACTAAAGCCTCCAGGCCTCTTCTACCATTCTGGAGGTTGGGGCTGGAACTTGAGGCTCTGGGACTCTCAGATGGGTCAGATCTCATGTTTTCTACAGATTCAGAGTTTTTTGTCTTTCTTTCTTGCTCTTTCTTTCTTTTCACCACTTTATGGTTCCTTTTTTCACAGCCTTACAGGGACCAACTTTTTTCCATGGCATCCAAATCTCGTCCTTTTTCAACCATAGCATGGCACAAAGTCGATGCTCAGGCTGGTTGGGAAATATGGAGCTTGTTAGCTTTGACGGCAACACAGGCACTATCATATTTAAGAAACCCTGGGCTAAAGGAGACTTCAGCAATCATGAAATTTTGGAGTTGGAAGAGCTATTTCAAGTCTACATGTTGGGATTCGTCAGAGAAATCCAGGAACGTATGAGTGATTTCCACTTGCAATGTGAGCATACTTTTAAGATTGAGGGGCAGGAGTTTTTCAAGTGTTCTATCCTCTCTTGCTTCAGGCCATGGACATCTTTTGTCCTTCCACCTTCTCTCAACTGCTCTTTTTAGAGAAGTTACTTCTCATGTTCCATATTCCACAATGTATTCCTGAATATGCTGCCTCTGCACTCATCTTTGATAGATTAAGGGCTCCATTTCTTGACCAATCCCAGGATTGTCTTATGTGAACTTGCACCTTACTTTCCCATACCGTGTCTCTGTGATATAAATTCCTTCTCTCATTCATTGTTTTCACCTTCTCTTCCCTTTCTTTGCTTTTCTGATTACCTGGTGATTCATCCTGGAATGTTTTACTTATGCTCACTTGTACCTTCTTTTCCTTTGCAACTCTTCTCTCATCTTTATCTCTTTATACATTTTACCCTGCCTTCATGACATGCATACCACTTTCTGATGCCATTTACTGAAGCTTTCTAAAGTGCTGCAGTGATTTTAGTTCTGCCCATCTCTTTGTTTTTCTTTACTGGTGTTAACACCTCTCTGTTTTTCTTCTCCACAGATCCCCTGAGTTCCAGGGCATCGCAGGCTGTGAGCTGAATTCTGGAGGAAGCATTGATTTATTCCTGAGGGTAGCTTTAGAGGGACTGGATTTCCTGAGTATTAAGAATTTGACATGTTGGCCTGCCCCAGAAGGTGGCATCAGGGCTCAGAAATTCTGTTCATTAATATTACAGTACAAAGGAATCTGTGATATTGTGGAAAATCTCCTCACAATAACATGTGTCAGGTATCTGTTTGGTGTCCTAGAGTCAGGGAAGCCAGAAATACAGAAGCAAGGTTAGTGTTGTTCTGTTTCACTTGTGTCACTTTCTTTAATTGTAAGTCGAATGGTACTAGAAGGGCTTGCTCAATAACTGAACTCACTCTAAAAGTATAGAAGAAGCAAGGCCCAAAGCTGTATGTTTCTGAGCCAAGTGTTCTGGGCTTGAGTTATAACATGACACTCTTGTTGCCCACTTCTGTCTCAGTGAAACCTGAGGCCTGGTGTCCCAAGGACTCAGCCCTGGGCCTGGTCTTCTGCAGCTGGTGTGCCATGTGTCTGGCTTCTATCCGAAGCCTGTGTGGGTGATGTGGATGCGGGGTGAGCAGGAGCTACCTGAAACTCAAAAAGGAGACGTCCTGCCCAATGCTGATGAAACATGGTATCTCCAAGTGACCCTGGATGTGGCAGCTGAGGAAGCTGCTGGGCTGTCTTGCCGAGTGAAACACAGCAGTCTAGAAGGACAGGACATCATCCTCCACTGGGGTGAGAAAAGATGGGGCTCAGACTGGAAATGGGAGACAGTACAAGGGTTAAATGAAGTGAGGAAGTGAGGGTGTGATAATGAGAAGAGAGGTTTAGTTGTGGGAAGGAGAGGTGGAAAGGAGGAGTTTTAGAGAATGAAACACACATATGAAGACTAAGGAAGGAGTGCAGTCATGTGTGTTTATGATTTGATATGACATTCTCTGGCCTCTTTCTCACCTTCCAGGACACTCCATCTCCATTGGCTGGATCATTTTGGCAGTACTAGTACCTTGTTTGATTATTTTGGTCTTATTTGTATTATGGTTTTATAGGCGCTGGTAAGTTTTTATTTTTTTAAATACTTTTTTCCATACAGTTTGCTATCTTTTCTGCCTTTTACCTAATAACAGGACATTTGTCTTCATCTTTCCCCAGGTGTTCACCTGTTAACTTTAATCCCTTGTGTAAAGCAAACTCATAAATTCTCTTTAAAATACAAAGAGTTAAAATTTTTGCCAATTGTTTCTGTTAAGTACATTCATACATTTTTGGAACCATTACCATCTTCCATCTCCAGTACTTTCCTTTTGCAAAGCAGACCCCACTTTCTCGTTTAACAACTCCTCATTTTTTGTGCCTGATAACAATCATTCTACTTATCACCTCTGTGAGTTTTACTGTTCCAGGTGGCTCAAATTGGAGGATCACACCACATTTTTGTTTTCTTGTGTGGTATCTTTCACATAGCCTTGTGTTCTCATTTCATACATTTTCTAGCCTATGTGAGAATTTCCCTTCTACCTATAATTGTCCATTGCATGGACATACACCATCTTTCATGTATCCATTATTCATTTTTGGACACTTTGGCTGATTCTATTGCATAATGTTTCTCTGAATGTATATTTATCAATACCTTTTATTTTGAGATATTTATTCATATATTTTTGGTTTTATATTTTTACAGGTCATATGAGGATATCTTGTGATCTCTCACTGTCTCATTTTTGTGAGTTTGCATTAGTTCCAGGATGTCTAGAATTTTGGATCATGAATCCAGGAGTCAATGCTCTTACAGCATTGTGCATATCCACTGTTTTTGATCATGTCAAAGACTGAATTTGTTGTACACTGACTCACAATGTATGTTAACAAAAGAAACACATGTTATTATATTTTGAGATTTTTATAAATAAAAAACATGTGCCCAGGTTTTATCCCTTATCAGGATATGTGTTTGGTATTTTTCTTGGGGTTGACAATGTGTTTTATATGTTTTATTCTGTTAATTTGCTGAGTTATATTTTTTCAACTGAGAAAACAAAATTCTGTATTTGCGAGTTGTATATCTTTCTTCATAATTTATATATGTGTATTCAATCTGTGAATATTTTGCTTAGTGTTATTTATCTGTCTTCATTTTTTTCTAAACACATTCTTGTGGTATATTGGTATTAGGGATTCCTTGACTTTGTAAAAGAATTTAAAAACAGTATTGTGTTTTTTATTTTCACATTGTGGGGAAGAATTTGTAGGTATTTGTATGTGTTTTGTGAGTAATTTTACAGCATTAAATTTTGAAATTCTATGTGCTGGAAAATATTTTATTACCAATGTTTTGAAATTGTTGGCAGTTATTAAAAACTCAATCTGGATATTAGATATTCTAGATATTAGCCTTTTTCCAAAGAAAAAGCTGGCAATATTTTTCCTGTTTTTTAGGTTATCTATTCATTCTAGCTGTTTTTATTCTTTCTGTATAGACACTGTAAATTTGAAAGAATCACATTTGTTGATTTGGATATTTCTTTTGTCACTAGGATTCTATTCAGAAACCCTTTTCCTATGTTTGTATCTTCAATAATTTTACATTTCATCTTCCACTAGATTCAGTAGCTCTATTTTCTGAATATTGGTCTTTAATCCATTTAGATACAGTGTAGTACAGGGGAAGAGATATGTGTCTAAATGCACACCTGGGAACATAGATAGGAAGTTTTCCTAGGGCAAGTTATTAAAGAAATACCTTTTATGCACCATATTTTGGGGCTCCTTGTTGAATATGAGGTGGTTAAATAGCTTGAGATGTTTGTGAAATCCCAGTTATATTCCCAGAATTGCTCTGTCTGTTTTGTATCAGTAAAATTCTTCTTATATTAACTGGTAGGTTTGTACTGCCATTTTACATTTGTGATTATAATGCTTCCTGCTTTCCTCTTATATTTTCAATTATAAAAACAAAGCAATAGTAAAAATGATGATACAAAATTTCAAAACAGAATAATAGGGGATCAGAATATTTAATATGTTTCGTATTGTTGTCTTCAAAGTAGTTTTTCAGCTTACTACACATATGCATAAAAATAAACAATCAAAGTACAAGCTGTTCTTTTTGTTGGGCTAACAGTGATTAGTAGTATAATTATCTAATATTTATATGCATCCATATATAAATATATATGTGTGTAGATATATATCTATATCTATCTATCTATCTATCGATCTATCATCTATCTATCTATCTATCTATCTATCTATCTATCTATCTATAGTCTTTTCCCTTCTTTGTTTTCTCCTTCCCCCATCTCAGTTTTTCCTTCCATTTTAATCATTTTCTCCTCCTTCACTTTCACAATACCTATGGACATTTTGCATCAACTAAATTCTTGAGGTTTTATAGTAGGGAGACAAGATAATATTCTTTTTTCTTTTTTCCTTTTTTTTTGTACTGTGAGTTAAACTCGACTTCATGCTTTCCAGGCAGATGGTGTGCCACTGAACTATATCTCTAACCCTAAAATGATGTTCACTCATGCACATCCATCCAATTTCACTTACGAGCATGATCTCAAGTTGCTTAATTTTTACCTTCAAAAACTTTGAGATTATCTTTCTTTATATCTGGGTTGCACTCAGTGGTATAAAAATATCATACCTTTCCGGTCCATTCTGTGGTTGTTGGGCAAAATACCCCTTCTTTTTTCTGGTTTCCTGGCACATGGAGCATTGGGCTCCTTTTTGAACCTTCATTCTGTGAATATCCTTTCAACTTAAATGTTTTTCTTATATATAGCATATTGAAGGACATTGTTTCTTGACCCATCCAGCCAGTGCTTCTTTTTATACTGAGGCCCTCTACATTAATGGTTACAACTGGCATGCATTTCCTCATTTCTGCAATGCTATCTTCATGCCATTGGTCCCCTACTTTTGCCTTCCATTCAATTGCCTGCCCTGCACAGTGATACCACTTTGATGCTGTTCCTGGAATGGTGGTTATCTTTATTGCTCTGTAGGATTTCTTTCAAAACTCTTTATATGGTTGGCTTAGTGATCATGAAATTCTTCTGTTGTTCTTTAATGGGGAAGTATTCTATTTCTTCCTAATTTTAGAAAAAAAGCTTTCAATTTTTGCTCAGTGTGATGTTGATGGGGGGTTTGTAATACATGACTTATCAGTTTGAATTAAGGTCCCTGTATACCTATTTTCATCAAGGTTTTGATAATCTATGGATGTTGGTTTTGTCAGAGATACACCATGTCTGTTGAGACAATTGGGTAGTTTTTACCCTTGTTTATGTAGAGCATGATGTTTATTGCTTATGGGCATCAGATCATCTCAGAATGAAGCCTACTTAGTCACATTGTGCAGTGTTTTCAGTAATTTGTTTATCAGCATCTTCTTGTAGATTTTTAAATTTATATTCATTAAAGAAATTGACCTAAACTTTCATTTCTGTTACATGTCTGCTTGGATTTTTTACAGGATGAAGGGAGCTTTAAGGAATGCATTTCATAAATTTCATGCCTTTCTGATTTTATTGAAGAAATTGAAGAATATTGGTGTAAGATCTTCCCTATAATTCTGCTACAAGTCTGTATTGCATATATCAAGTCTGGGACATTTCTTTGTTGATGGAGTTTTTACAACTGCTTCTATTTTGTTGCTAGATAGAGATTTTAAAAATATCTCTTTGCTTCAGTGCTGCTTGAATATGGTGTGGGAAGAGTGCTTTGCATGGAACTCAGCAGAGTTTAGCAGCCAGTGAGCGTGTGCTCATTTCAGCTCCTGGCTTTTTGGTCTTAGTGGCAGGTGGAATGAATTTCCATGGGAGCTTAGCTCTGTGGTGTCTGGAAACCTGGAGAGTTGGCAGGGAAGCTCAGAGCCTTCGTGTGCTTTGTGTGGGTGGAAATGCGGCCTCTTGAGCTCTTCTGTGTTTCTCTGCTACTCCTGGTTCACTGAGTTACAACTGAAGTGTTCCCCTGCCTGTGGCATATTTCCAAGGCCCTATTCAGAGCCAAACAACTATTATTTTCTGTCCCAATGACTAATTTATCCTGGTGTGATTTTTTTCCCTCTCATTGATATTTCCTGCTCCCTTACTGCTCTATTTTGAGTGGTCTTTCCCGTCTGAGTGCATAAGTCCCTGGACTTCATTCTTAATGGGATGGAGCTGTGACAGGAATACTGTGGGTGGTAAGTGCTTAGATTTACAGAGATCACAGCTGCTTGCCTGACTGGCTATCCATTGTCCTGTGATCTCTCCTGGCATCCAGTCACTGCACATGACTGTGGCTCCCAGACACTCTCATCTCTGTTCTCTTGACTTAGTTTGGTGCCACAGATTACAGATAGGCCATAGTTATGTCTCTAAGTTTCATGCTTTTTCCCTTTTCCTTTGCTGTAGGGGTAACACACATTCACAAAATGTGTATCTTCAGCATCTACTATACAAACAGTATCAGGACTGAGAAATGACCGTACCTTTAGTTCTAGAGAGTCTTTATGCTGGAAATAGATGGTTGAGTTCTCTCTTTTGTTGAGATTTCATGCTTGGGCCTATGTTTTCATTCATATGAGTTCTGGGTACCTGTCTGTCTGGAGAATGACATTTAAGCAGCTTATGAATACTGCTAATGCAAATCTTCTATCTTTGTTGAAATGGGCTCAATAGATTTTGCAACTGCAATTTTAAAAATAATTTTATTTAAGGAGAAAACAAAAAAAAAACAAAAAAGGGTACAAGTTTTACAGAATTTCAGAAAAAATAAACAGTAGGAAATCACTAGTTAATAGATTACATATTGTCATCTTAGAAATAGTTGCTCAAGTTACAGAATTAAAGCATATAAAGTGGACATTCAAACAGTGAGACTGCAAACAGTTCTGTTCAATGATCCAATAAAACTCAGTAATATGGTTATCTATCTTATACACTTAAATATACATGCAGTTATATCCTTAGAGCACTTCCTTTTCCTCTTTTTTCCACAATGACAATTACACATTTTGGGTTTTATTACTCCCTCAGTTATTACTACTTTTCAAAAAGAGAATAAAACCAAATATGACATTACAAAACAGAGCCAGTCAAATCAAAAGGATGGACATAATACATAATATAAAAACAAAATAAAAGGTGATCAACAATGGTTACTACAATGTCTCTTGCTATCTTAAAAAAATTGACTGTATCATCAGTTACAATAAAATTGAATAAAACAGTAAAGAACAAAACCAATAAAACCAAAACATTGGAGACATTACAGGACTTCAAAAGAAGATAATAATCAAACCAGAATGGGCATCATAATGAATCTTATCGTCTTCACAGTTGTTGCCTATACTCTTGGTATTTTCAAGCAAAACAGAATAGAGGAAAATTAGTCAAAACAAGATGGTGAGAGCAATACAGGGTTTCAAATCAAGTTAATAGGAAATCAAAGTGAGTTACTATAATATATCCTGTTATTTTTTATTTATTTTTACCTCAATTAAAAAGATAAAAATAAAAAAGTAAATAATAAAAAAAGGGATTGAGATAAAAGAGGGCATAACAACAAAACAGCAGGTCAAAACATAACAATTTAAGCAAAATAGTGTTTCACCACCAGATATTCCAACATAAAAGTACTTACCATAGTGTCTCTTTCCTTGAAATCTTTGAGTATAACTTCGTATAATGTAGCATCAAAAATATCAAGACAATGTAAAACCATTCAAGAGAATGACAGTATTACAGGGTATTTAGAACTAACTAACAGAAAATGAACAATGGTTTCTGTATAATCCCCTTGTCTATAAAAGTTTTTGTTTATATTATCCCATATAATAAAATCCAATAAGATACAACATGCTAAGACTGATGGAGATAGAAGAACAAAGGCTTGATGGGACTTCAAAACAAGATGATATTAAATCAGCACTAGCTATTATGATGTCGTCTTGTCTCCAAAATAGCTGTTCCT